CCTAAACCCTAAACCCTAAACCCTAAACCCTAAACCCTAAACCCTAAACCCTAAACCCTAAACCCTAAACCCTAAACCCTAAAACCCTTCATCAAGAAGTGCCTTGCGTAGCCGAGTCGAGCAACCAACAGGAAGGCTTATCAAAGTCCGGCGAAGCTGGCGAGCGGCTCCACCTCTAAAAACTTCCGAACAGGGACAACCTTTTTGGTAAGTTTCGATGGTGTCGCGTGTTCGCTGCGTCTCCGGTTCCTCCACGTTGGGACTCTTTTTTATCAAAAAGTGCCCTGCGTAGCCGAGTCGAACAACTATAACGGAGAGACTTAGCAAAGTCCGGCGAAGCTGGCGAGCGGCTCCACCTCTGAAAACTTCCGAACAGGGGCAAACTTTTTGATAAGTTTCGATGATGTCGCGTGTTTGCTGCGTCTCCGGTTCCTCCGCGGGGGGTCGACATTAGAATGGCGAAAAGTCAGCGCAACACTGCACAAAAACGGCCAATATTATCGTCTCCCGGTCGTGGTAGTGTTCCGTCTGGCGTTCGTTCTGACTTGACTTTTCTCAGTTTTTTTGTCTTTTTGTTGTCTTTCGTGTGGTTCCCTGCACCCCTCCAGAGTCCACCGCGTCGGCCTGCAAGTGTTTTCCGGGAGATTCTGGAGGGGTGTGGGGATTTTGAAGGTGCCCGAGGCTCTTGGCTCGCAATCGCTGGGCGATTTTCGTGGGTCGAACCCAATAGGCGGCGAATGTTTTCGGGATTTTTATCCTGCCCGACAGGATTGAATATTGACCGGATTTTTGCAGTCATTGGCTGCGTTTTCGCCTTTCTTCATTGCCATGTCATGTCATGGCATGTCATCTCATGGCATCTCGTGCGTTTTGTGCCTATCAGTGTCTACACATAAGGCCATCGAGTACAGGAAAAGGCGTAAGTACCTCCAAAAGGAGCGCTCAGGTGGAATGTCTACTTCGCTTACGATATACACACTGCAGGAACCAGCAGCAAGCGAAAACTAAATATTTTCCTGGGTGGTCGAGATAATGAGTAGAGAAAAAGAATAAACACACAAAAACAAAAGAGATGAGATCTGTGTCTCTGTAATTACTGCTTTCACATCCAAGTCCGACGCGGAAGAGATGCGATTCAGCATGATTCGAGCAGCACTCTACATAGTAGATCGATTCACTTTGCCGCGCACCAGCATGAATCATCCGGGCCATCATGCACTGCACGAGCGGCACCGACTTCGGGAGCGTTGAGGTGGGGGCGGCGCTGCTGTTCGAAGGTCGAGGCGTCTCTTCTCGTCGAGAGATTCGCCACAAAGTCTGCTTTATCCGTCGTCGCCTTCACTGGGACACACAACTTCGCAAGACCCAGAGCAGTATCCCGTCGTCAGCTACCCCGGACCCCGCTCAAACGCAAATTATCAATTCGTCGGAGCAGCAGTCGCCATGTCTGCACTCTAACTATGCCTATAGCAGGGCAGCTTTATCGCCCTATAAACTCTGTCGACGTCCGATCCCTTCACGAATGCAAAGAAAGGAACAACCCACACAAAGACAGCAAGCAGAGGCAAGAGGCCCCAACAGAAAAGCATCGACACAGCCCCTGAGGCCTTGGCGGACGTCCTGGGCCGCTGCTGCTCAGCAGGCGGCTTCGTCGCTCTACTTGATGAGTCACTGAGGCTGCGCAACAACTGGACGACGCATTCCTGTGTGACCACCGTCGCCCGCCTTGCCATCACCGAAAGACTGAGGAAAATAGATCCACAGGCAAGCATGTTCAAGCCCTTCATCAACTCACTGCTCTGGGAGGTTTCTGCACCTGGGACGAGGACCAAGATATGCTGCACGTCTCGGCACATGAAGACGTGAAACTGTAGCACATAAGTCTCCAGCGTGTTTCTGCCGAGGAACTCCAGGACGACTGAGTACCGCTCAGTGAGAGAAAAGAGCGCGTTTCGCATGATAACATAACCAACGAGCGGGAAAGTCAAAATATATGGATGCATCGCATTGTAGGCCAGCTTGTCATCACTGTGACCCCACGCAAGGTACCAAAACAGGACCAGAGCGAGCCCCGTAACCTGGAGACAGCATTGCGCGAAAAGCCTGAGACCTTTGCTGTCGATATCCTCGGCCCATTGAATCACTTGCGTCACGGGCTCCAGCAGCATCGCTGAGGCGATACCCTGTAAAGCCGTATACCTGTCAGCTGTGAATCGCCACTCGAGCTCATGAGACCAGAAAAAAACTCGCTGCACAAACCCGCACTCGAAGAAAACATAATGAAGCACGAAACTGACGAGCACTCCAAACGCACGCGCAAAGCTTTGTGGTGCTGCACTCGTTTCAGCGACACTCTTCGCTAGGACCCGCTGCTGCAAGTAACATGTTGCGTACGTAACCAAGAACCCCACGGTATGCAGTGGCACGACATAGTACAGCTCCAAACTGGTTCCCAGTGCGCAACACAGCCAGAAAGGGAGCCAGTTGATCCGAATCAACATGCTTACCACTCGAAGTGCGGAGAAGTCCGCCTTTTTATCGAAGTAGAGAAAATTTCCGAACCCTGTCATCCAGACGTAAGAGGAGACGAAGACCCGAATTTCATTGTAGATATACCGCGCACGATAATAATGGTAAAAGATAAACATCCACTGCATCCACCCTTTCCACTCTTCCGTTTGTTCCCTGCACAGGGGCGTGACCGTTCTGGCTGTGCTCTTGCTTCCTCCACCTGACGGGCCACGCCGCTTCGTAAATGTAGAGGCCCCCAGAATAAGGCAGACACAAACGCTCGCCCAAAACATGCGAGGGTTTGCGTTCTCGTTCCTTGGATAAGACTGCGGCCAATTATTCCCAACATGCGCGACGAGGCAGACCAATCCCAGCTGACACTGTGCAGCCAAGAACGACTTAAGCAAGGCCACCTTGGTCATGTTTTCACGGGGGACAAAAGACAAACAGGGACACCTTCACTGCCAGCACGCCTTGCATCTGTGGCGCTGTTTGTACCGATTTCATTCGCACACCGACCACGACAACCCGCATGAAACCAAACCCAAAGGCGCCCCGCGGCGGTTCCTAAGAGGATCCGCAAAAGCTTCCAGCACGCTCTGCAGCCCTCCCAGCGGCATGTCTCCGCCTGGGTGGGGCGAGTGGCAACTTGCCAAGAGCACGCGCAGAAACCTCCGACGACTCCTGACTCCCCTGGCGAATAGTTTCGAGGGGGGCGATTCCTCAGCAAGGCCGAACGAATGCTCCACACCTCCTGGGAGCCTCCTTCAATAACAACCCACCCCACCAGAAAAAGACTGAAGCAAGGCCAGCTTGGTCATGTTTTCACGATGTTTTCATGGGAGACATAGCACGAGCAGGTGGGACATCTTCGCCGCCACACCTTTCATCGGTATGACAGGCCCCACTCGACACTCACGCCTGTCATCTTAGTGGGACTAGACTACAAGACTGGACCTGATTCGGGTCAGATAGGGTGACCATGACTGCTCGCTGTCAGTGTTATCAAGTAAGCACGGTCCACAGCAAGAAAGAGCTAAGCACTGGCGCAAGAATAAAATAGCACACAGCGCCAACGATGCTACAATTAGCAACCTTCTCCAAAGAGTGCAACTGTTTGGCTTTGTAGCTGGTAGTACTAGTAGAAGTCCGGCAAGAGAAGGCCGGCGCCCCTGGAAGTACGTACCTCCTGGCAACTTGATTCTACCTAAATTTTGCACGAATCAGCATGCTACGGCAGCCCAGGGATGAGCTTCACGGATGAAATCTAACGCAAAACCTAACGTAAAATTAGAAGGGAAACTGTCGGAGCTGTAGCATATACGTGAAATCCAATGTAAAAAATAGTAATAGAATGAAGGGGCACTCTGCACCTAAAATTATCTGTAACATTTGGATTCTTAGACTTCTCGAGGCCGTGCTTCATCGGCTCACGGTCGCCTGTCGCCTTTAACCTTTACGGAAATGCGCCATCCACCCCGACCCATGCTCTGCAGATAGAATCGCGCTGCGGAGCTTTCTTTCGACATGTTCAGACTCGGTGTCCGGCCTCGGTGGATGATGATGCAACACGCTGCATTCTTGGCCCAATATCGCATACACATCTCCTGGCGACTCCAGCGACGCGATGGCTAATCCTAGAGAGGCAGCCACCGCTTCGTAGAAGTAACTCGAATAGCCGGACACGAAACGAAACGGCACCTGATGGGGCCCGCTCGTTAAGGGACTCGTGGCCAAGATATGGCCCCCAACTTTTGCAACACGGTGCAACTCTCGAACAGCTGCGAACGCGTCCGGCACATGCTCCAAGGGTCGACAACGAGGACGATGCCCGGCGGAAGCGAGCGATGCAAAAAGTAAGAACCCTGCACCCTGACATTGAGGCAATACTGCGCAAGGACAAACGCAGTCAGGCTTTTTTCGAAACGCTTGAGATGCCAGCGCATGAAAGCTTGGGAATGCTCACCATCACACACACGACCAAAATTCGCGATCCAACAGCTGAAGATCCGAGAACAAGTGATCCGACAAAAGATGAAAACAAAGAAGAGCAAGGAGGTGAAGACGTTCTTGATGAACATGAGCCCGAGGAGGGCCAGAAGAAGCCCGATAAAGATCAACTCTTGAAGGACAAAGAAAGAGTAAGCCTGAAATTGGCGAAGTTTCTTGTGTCCAAAGAGGAACTTCTCGACCCTTTTTATGACTTTACACTAATTCACCTCCAGGAGCACGCTCCTAATTCGAATTCTACCATTAGAGATATGCGCTATAGATGAGACGCATGATAACTAAAGGGCCTGGAGAAAGCGAGTCAGATGAATCTGCGACAGATAGCAACCAGAGCGGCAGAAGACCTTTCCTCAGTACAATGGATCGCATGCTCAGAAATACGGACCAGATTCGCAGTTCCCTCGCAGTATTTGAAGAGCAACCGCCCCAGTACTAGTTCTGATCATGTACTACTTGTTGGCTCTGCTGGTGGCTCCTTTGCTGGTGATGCTGGTGGAACTGGAACTAGTAGCACAATTAGTCAGGAGAAGACGAAGGCTCAGAAGCAAAGTCACAAGGTGAAGGCTAAAAGTGAAGAACTCCAGGAGCTAGTAGAGGTTGACGATAGTGCTCTTGCTGGAGCAGAAGGAACATTTTTGAAGGTAGAAGGGACAACATCAACTACAGCTATGGTAGAGGGAGGGAGTACAACAAAGGCAGAAACGTCCAAGGAGAAAGAAGATGCTACGGCCGGAGGAAGTGGGGGAAAAGTTTTTTTGGATGAAGGCAGGGCCAAGGTCTTCTTGGAGGAGGAACCATTGAAGCTGTGGCATGTAGAGAGTGAGGACGTGGCTTACATTTCGAGCGATCTCATCGAAGATCTCGCAGGACGAAGACCGGAGTCGCAAGGCCCCTGCTCTCTAACTCTTATGACCAGTAGCGCAGAGACATCCTCACACTTACAGACTTTGCGAATTTCTATTATTTCTACACCATGTGGAGAATTTGAGTCTATTTCTCCTCGGGGTTCCTCGTGTTATTTCGATTTCTCGCAGGGCTTTTCGATTTTTAATTACGTTAATATCTTCGCGTCAGTCATCCTGTTGCTTTCATCTTGTCCCATACATCTCGCCCTCTCTTGAAAGAGGGAGCTAATTATAGAGATTCAGCGCATCTAATTAATCCAAGGAGATGCAATTATCTAAGACAAGATAGCTCTAATTATAGGGATTCAGCGCACGGAGCCACGATGCGGCTGAGGGAGTTTATTTGTGCCACTTTTTGCAGTATGTGTGCAACCGACGAAAGTACGGGGAGGCTGCTCATCGAGATGACCATCAAGGAAATCCTCGAAAGCAACTTTCTCAGCACTTTGCCGCCGCCACCAAAGTCAATCGCGCCAGAATCAGCAAGCGCTCCTCCTCCCTTGCTCGCGCCCAACATATTGGACGAGGGAGATGATGAGAATGAAGAAGGCGGCCGCGATGCTGATGGACAAGGTGGAAAACGTAAGAAACTTGCTTCCACAAGAACAACAGGGAACAGAAAGACAAGGCGCAGGACTAGAAGACTAGCCTCTCTTGATAGACTTGGAGGCTGACCACGAAGATGATGGAGATTTTCACAACCTGGAACAAGGCGGAGACGTCATGGAAGACGATGACGACGATGATGGAGATGATGGCGATGATGATGACGATGATGATGGTGATGGAGATCCTGCAACTGCGTCTGGTTTGGTGGACCCATCGTCCTCTTCTGAAAACAAAAAGTGGACTACTAAGAATGGAAACCAGACAGCAAAAACTAGAAAAGCTGCCTTGTCGAAAAAGGAAAAACGAAGAGGCAATGAATGGGGTTCGAAAAGGAAAAGGAAAGAATAATAAAGGGAGCTCATCAAAAGCGACTAGCAGGCTCTTTCAGCTGCCTCCCGAGGCCTACCATACAAGTAACAAAATTACTTCTACCACTAGTGCAACAACTTCTATTAACGACGAAACGGCCACAAATGCGATCTCTGGCGCGTCAGCAATTAGCGAAGGCAGTAGGATTTACAGCGCTAGAAAGATTAAGGCTGTGGCGACCGTTCTTGCTAGAAAACAAGCGGAGTGCATTGTTATACATAGACTAACTAGCTCCTGTGCCTGAATATTTATTATCCCGCACTGGTTTCAAGAAAACAAAGTGGATGATAAGCTGGCTAGAAGAGTGAAAAACGTCATAGCTGCTAGGGATAGACCTGACCATCTAGGTTGGATAGCTAAGTTGGATAGCTAGTTCGGATAGTACCTAGCTAAGCAGGATGTTGACTCTGAGAGCTCTAACCATAGGATCGATGGTCTTGCGCGGACTTGGTGCTCCTCGGATGCCGGGCGCATTGGAATTGCGAGCTTCACAAGCAGCATTCCCAGTCGTTTCCGAGCTTCTTCTTCTGCTGCTAGTACCACGGCAACTACCGCAACTATTGCAGGAGTAGCTATTCCTGATGCGACAGCAAATCAACACCCATCCAGTCCAGATGCTTCTAATGTTGGTCACAATGTTCTTAGAGGTGCTAGTGGTGGTAGCATTAGTGGCACAGGAGGAGCTTCTTCCTCCTCCTCTTCTTCAATACAACTACCACGACCTTCCACCTCGACGTCCTCCAGCAGTGGCGTTGTGCTGAACCCATCTTCTGCGTTGAGTAGTGCGATCGATTTACCAGTGGAACGAAGACTCCGGGAGTTGCTGGAGGCCCAACTCCCCGACCTAGTAGCCGAGGTCGTCGCGGGGGTGCGGGTGATGATCATGGCACAGGGCTCTAGCTCTACCCCTGCCGCGCAAGGCCCTAGCTCTAGCTCTGCCACCCTGGAGGAGGGTTCTACTGCAACTAGTTCTGCAAGAACAGCTTCGACTAGTTCTACAATAGCTGCGACTAGTTCTACAACATCAACCGCTGCAAATGGTTCTACAAGAGCTGCAAATAATGCAGGAGCTGCAACTTCTAATGCAGGAGCTGCAACCAATGCAGGAACTGCAACTGATACAGGAACTGCGAATAGTACTAGTAATGCTGGCGGTGTTAATATTCTCAGTTCGACATCTCCATCCAGTCCTTCCTCGGCTGCTCCAGCTGTCGTTCCTGATGCAGGGGCTGCCCGCTCAGAACATGACTCAGAGAAAAAATCAAAAATAAATCCCAGTAGGTAAGGCAGACCAACAAGAATCGCAATGGGTAAGGCTGTCATGATGTCACGACGATGCTTCTGCTCTCTGCTCTGGTCGGGATCCATGAGATTTTGCATCGACTATTTTTATCCGTTGACTTCTTTGGTATATAATTCCCAGCGCATATTATAAACTATTTGTAAGTGACCAATGACAGCGACACACTTTTTCACGCCTTGCAGTACTGTCCCACTTCCAGCTCATAAATAAATAACGACAAAAGTAGAGAACATATACACTTTATTTTTTGCTGAGATAACAGACGACGCACTGTTTTTGTTAGGTCATGATAGATACTATTTAATTACTAGTAAAGAACACGCTTTCAAAATCATGCTGAACCATCATTAGAAAGAACGGATGATCTTCGAGGGAGAAACTAGCCAACAAGTCACGCGCTTGCTATGTTATATGTTCATGAAAGTTTCCCTTTGCGATTGGTAAAAGAGTGGCTGTATGCGCAGCTTTGGCAGAAAGACTTACTGCCAGGAGCGGGGGCTCCTGGAGAAACAAGAGACGTCGAAATCGAATGCCAGAAGCGCAAGCTGTTCGCTCTGCAACGTGATGAAAACTTTTGCTGCTGCAGAAAGAATTAAGATGATAAAAGAACGCGAGTAGAAAGCGATCGTCTTTGGCGATGTTGGATTGGAATGACATAGAAGCGGATGCCTATCACTACAGATTATGACTACGAAAAATCAACAGGCGTCTACATCTGCTCTGACGTCGTTCTTCTATCTCTAGCAAGTAGTCTTGTTTGAGTGTGATGCATTGCTTGATCGTATTGCTCCCTGGAAGGATAGCGCAGAAGAAGTACGCTTGGTATTGATGTGGTCACGAAGTAGGTGAATATTATTGAGTTACTAGTAGCATCAAATCAAATCAAAGGTGAGAAAAGATGGAGGATTTTTCCAAGAAAAAGCGCACTACCACCGAGGGCGCTGGTGCTGTTCCGTTTGCAGGAGCACCAGGTGGAAGCAAGGGATTCATGAACGAGATGCGAGACAAGACGAAGGCGCAAAAAAAGCGAAGCCCTGGGCGGAAAAACACCGACTCACGGAGTTGAAGAAAATCGCACACACACCAGCTACAAAGCGTTCGCTTGAGAGGTTGCTGGCTGCCCCTGAGAAGACTCCGCGTTTGTTACTCCATGGGCCTCCTGGTACCGGTAAAACCACAACCGTCTGGGCCTTTCTCATTGAACTACTCGGCAAGAATATGACTCGAGGAAGTTTTAATTTAATTTTTTTAAAATGGCGCGGAAGCTTTTGCAGTCATGTTTTCTATGTAGTTGCATCCAATACGATTGCAGGAGTGATTTACTCTTGCCCACATGGTGATCGAGGTAGTGATAGCCATCGAGCAGGAGCCCGCGCCCTTTGTGTTGCGTGAGCCAATTAGATTGATGGATGGGCTCTGTAGGTGTAGCTTACCTACTACCAATAGCGATACGGCGCTGGGAAGAAGTAGACTCTGTTTTAGAACTCGGGCGAGCAATTACGTTTTTATTTTTTTGGTTCATCGAGTAGGCTGCTGGATACCACGTGAAGGCTATGAACTCGTCGGAAGATCGAGGGGCCAAAGTGATCCGCGAGGACGTGAAAAAATATTGCACGCTGGACGTCAACGATGAGCATGGCCTTCCCTCCAAGTACCCCAGCCCCAGACTCAAACCCGTGCTCTTGTTAAGTTCCTAGAAAGAAAGTAGAAACTTGCTTAAAGCATGAACAAATTAACATCAAACCATGCCCATCAAGAACATGATCCGCGCTTCGACTTTGTTTAGATCTATTTACTCGGTGACTCTTTGGCTCTTTCTATCTAATGTCATGGAAAAAAAGCGTGCAGCAGTAGTGTGCTTGTAGTTTCTTGAGAAATGTGACGCCTTGTCTTCTTCTACTGTCGGATGAGGCGGACGCGTTGACTTTCGAAGCACAGGCAGCTCTTAGAAGAGTTATCGAGGAGCACTCCGGCCATACCCGCTTCATCCTATGCCGCAACTACGTAAGCAAAATCGTCGAGCCTATTCAGTCCCGTTGCGCTCTAGTCGCTTTTCAGCCCCTGGATGATGAACAACATCGCGAGCCTATGTCTGACGTCATTAAGTAGACGACGAAGAAGGAGCAGAGAAGTGATATTAGTCAGATACGTAGCGGTAGTTCTTTAAAATTCTTGGCAATCTAATAAGTCTTCTATGTATATTAATACTACTATCCATAGTCCGCATCCTCTTCATAGCTGACCTGAGGGCGATTAGTGTTGCGGAAGACGTGGAGATAGATGATTCAGGGTTAGATAGTTTGTTGGCTTTGAGCGATGGCGACTGCCGCAGAAGTATCACTTTGCTGCAAAGTACCTGCGCCAGTCTGCTTATGATTGTGCTATCGTATTTCAATTAGATATATATTGACGAATTATATATCAACGCATATCATATACATATGGAATATGAGAATGAGGAAAAGTCCAGACTTCTCTGCGCGGTGTAAAGAAACAAACCCTGCTGGGGTTTGGTGTCGGTCCACCCAACGAAAACGCAAAGCTTCACAAGTGTGGCCATTTGTGGAGGAGAAGCAACTTCTGACGAAGCGCTATTCCCTTATGCCTGAGCCTGCCACTAGATTTAGAAGAGGAGTAAAGTTGAAGGCGCTGCGCTACTAGCAGGAGGGTACTAGCAGACGTGAGTAATTAGCACGAGGACGCTAACTATTATACATTCTACCCACGCGACACACGAGCACTCTCCTGGCATTCGCCCGCGTCTTCTTGTCTTACGGGCAATTGTTGCATCCTATGCATTTATTGTATAAAAATTTGTATAAAAATTGAGGTCTTGGAGTAAGTCCCTGCAATTTTTGCGCGGAAACCGGAGATGTACTGGAAAGCAGAGATGTGGCGATGGGTGGGGTGGAGGAGCGGGCGCAAAAATCACAGTCCAGCCGCGTGACATTATTCGAGTCGGGAATGCTTTACCCCTATGGCCTAGAGTGTTTCGCTATCTTTTAAAAAGATTCTCTTTCGATTGTTTGAAGCCGAGTGATGTTGCTGATTGTCCCATACGTTTTAGATTTACTTGATGGAATCCCAACTACTTTTCTCGGATAGTATTAAGTCCACTCTTCGAGAATGAATTCAGGGGGTGTTGCGTTTTATTCTGCTGCATTCTATGTATTCTATTCTATGCATAATTGATTCCCTTCATTTCTATTCTAATTCTGGAGGGGAAAGTGAGGGAAATCGTGAGGCACATCACATCGCCCGAGAGCGTGGAGGATGTGGAAAAGGACTCAGAGCACCTCCTTCGGGAGGCGTACGCGCCAAAGGCATTACTACTATGGAACTGATGTCATCGAGATACCCCTGCGCTTCCATTTAGAAATACAATGATAGCACTTATATGGTATTTAAAACTTTTAGAAAATAAACGAACTAGCACCATTCTCATGGAGATTGATAGCTCTACTCTCTTGCCCCAAAAAGAAACACCACAGCGATAGCCAAGCTAGACCTTCGCACTCATTCACTATTTTTGTTATGAATAATAAAGCAAAGCTAAAGACTGATAAAGAGAAGAAGTGTCTTCATACTGGCGGCCCCTGCTGGATGCTTTGACGTTTGGAGCTTATTTTACGGACTACCAATATGCGAGGGCTGCCTGCGTCTTCGCAGAAGTCGACGCTATGGTCGCTGCACGGACACCGGCGGAGTGCGCGTTTCCGTATCTTCTCGTCTCACTCTACGTTATGACTTCTCGCCGCTCTCTATTCATATTCAGGAAGTTTTGTTAATTTTCTGGCGTCTTTGATTGAGTGACTAGCTTTAGTTTACCCATTGCTACGCACTACGTATTATCATTTTTTTAATTTATTAACATCCAAAGCGCTCCTTAGCGTTTTTTCCTCTCTTTCACCTTTTAGTGCTATACCTTAATCTAATGGACGACGCTAGGTCTGAGAAGTCTGTCACGTTTAATTTATCAACATTCATTGTGATAATCTTTCCACTTGTATTCGCGATCTAAGTATCGCATCGCGCGCAGTCCGAAGAGTATGAGTGGGCAGGAGCAGCATGGAGGGGATTTTTTACTGTACTCGATTGGGCACATTCCCGAGGACGGCTATGACAAAGAGCAGCACTGGGGACATGTAGAGTGGTGTAGTTGATCATCTCGAGACGAGAAGCGTAACTTCTGAAGAAGCAGGACAGCATTAGCGTTTAGATATGCTACAACATGCAGCAGAAGTTGCGAAGGAGATAAAACAAGCACAGCGTCTTGCAGACAAATAGCAAGGCAGGCGAGTTGAAACGATGAAGATGAACAAGATGCAATCGTATATTTTCTATTCATATTCCTCCCGTGAGTTTCTTCCACTTCTTACAGCATGAATTGTCGTAAAGTTAGATGCTGCAGGGTTTTCTTCTGTAGCATCGCCATCCAGAAGTAAACCGTTAACACATCTTCAGTGTGGTTGTTCGTCAATACTCACCCAACAACCACACACACAAGGCACGTGAGAGATAACATAAGACCATACTACGGCACTCTATTGGCGCCTCTTTTTCGGCTTATCGTATGCGTTCCATGTGTGTTCCAAGGGTCGACTGGATGCTGTCCACGAAATCGCAAAAGATCCGATGTGCTCCGCTATAATCGGGAGCGGCAGCAGAATTCCCTGTCTGCTGCTGTATGGCCCCTGTTCGTATGTAAGGCATGAAGATGTAGAGTGGCCGCCCCGGGAAGGCTCGCCATCCTTCGTAGACTTGTCGCGCTTCTGCGATTCCTGGCGTTCTCCAACCGCACGACTCGGATACTTGAACGCATGCAAGTCGACCTTCGGGGGAGCATCGCGGCTCGACACACCTGGAAGAGTTGTCGGCTAAAAATAGCTGCTGGCTGAAAGTGGGTGGGAGTTGAGCAGTGCTCGTTTGTGAATTTGACATGAAACGTTTCAAGTTATTCATTCGCGAATACCTCCGGGAGTCGGGCGCCATCCACAATTCGCAGGATCAACCGTCGGAACGTGGTAGCTGGGACCAGTAGTCGGGAAAGCCACTTCGTATTGCCCGCGCAACTTGGCAGCAAAAGTGGGGGGCCCTCCACCGAAGTCAGCACCAACCGGCTCGGTCATACGCGGATCCTCGTTCATATGAAGAAGTTGGCTGAGCTGATGGCCAGCCTTCGGAATCCACGCTCGCACCTGTTCACGGCGGTAGGTGTCCTCTTTCGAACCGCTGGCGGGAATCGGCATGACAGGGGTGCGGGCGGACGCTTCGCTGGGGCGTCCTGTTGTTTATAGAATGCCACAACTCAGTTGCTTTTTTTGGATATTGCTGCAAGCCTAGTCCATCAACTTCTTGCGGAACTTCTTGCCACTAGAAAACTCCGCAACATCATGGAAGAATGTAAGACAGAATACCACGGCCCTGGGAGCGGCGAATCTTCTGGCTCTTCTTCAGCTGCATCGTGCAAAGCTGGAGCTGCTGCATTTCCAACAAATCGCTTTCGCCTTCTTCCTCGGCCGATGTAGTTCCCCCGTGATCAAACAGGGCGCGCCCAGGCGGCATGAAGTCTTCGCTGTCCTGAAAGGCACCGGCCAACAGATCCTCGCACGAGATACGGCTGTCGCGGTTCGACGAGCGGGACGCGCCTCCACCAGAGTTGCGCTGGAAGTTCCTGCACATACCACGAAGCACGTTGTCGCTGACGTGGCCCATCACTCGACGAGACATCTCGCCCCCCGAGGCAGTGTCATGCTCAGGAGTCACGAAGTGTAAGCAAATACATAGAACATTTGGAAAATCTCGGACAGTGTGTCTTCTGTTGTCTACGTGCTAAGATTTCAGCACCGTCATAAGATCTGTCCTCTCGTATTCCAATGCCAAACCACAGGTGACTCGCCAACATTTTGCCACTTGGTGGAAGGTGTTACTTGTTGACTTGGGATCTGTACCGCTGGGAACCTTCGCTCTTGGGGTGGTGCCGCACCATCAATATAGCCATTTACTTGTATGATTTCTGGTGCCTTCTGACCATCGCGGAGTGTTCGCCAGCGTCTTCTATCACGTACCGATCAACGCCGCCGATTTCGACCGATATCCAGCCGACCCTCGACCTCGATCTAAATCTAGCTAACTTAGAATAGATAACTCAAAGCGCTATCTGTTGTGTCCTGACTGGCGAACGTTTGACAAATGCTTCGACTTTTGAGAATGAGAAAGTTTTTTTGGTTTGATATCCGAACGAAGCCAAAAAATGCAATACCATATAGAACTATCGCGAGGAGGATTGCGATGTATCGCGTCGACGTAAAATACTTCTGCAGGGTGGATAGGCGACAACATCAGCGAGAACCGCCAGTACTTGCGAATCAACCACATGATGCGAATCAAGTGCGGCGGCGGCAATCATTGATAAATCCAATGGAGCTTGCGAGGTCATCTCATCTTCAACGAGTCATATATACAATAGCCGACACAAACATACGCCGACATGCAGCGCAGCACTCTCTCTTTGCCAAGATCTATTCACGGCGCGACACTTTTAAAACATCGAAAACTGAAACACTTCAAAATATTCCCGACCAATCGAATGCGAAACATTCGCGGCACCCTCGGCGGATAGAAAATCCACAAAAATAAAGAATCAACCAAAAAGCAATACGCTAAGGCATAACACAAGAAACATCCAACCAGAACCCTGCGCGCGACTCCCCCTTGGACTTGATTCCCTTCCCAAAATTTTTCCCGAAGTTCTCCAGCGCGAGACTTTTGCTGTGTTTTTGTCTTGCTTTTGCGCGTTTTTCCTCATCGTCGGCCGTCGTGCTCAACTTTAGTCCAGCATTAACAACGAATAACGACGATGATGCCTCGAAGTGCATTTTTATTGTGACTCGGGCCGTGGCGGTGGCCAGCCATTTTTTCACGAGGCAGAATACTTACATCTACCAGGACGACCAACCAAAAGGGCAGGAGTGTCATGCCACACGCGTGGCTCCTGTCACCGACCGCAAACGTGATGACGTGCGGGGCCACAGATATATTGCGACTCATGTCTATGATCGTTCGCCTCCCGCTTCGTTGCAGATTCTGTGCATCTGTGGGATTCTTAGAACCGTAACGCGGATGAATCGACTGAAGTCCGGACACGGCACACCCACGACGAGAGCCGTGCGGGTGTTGATAGGGTTGATATGGGCTGTAGACCTCTGGCGGGAATTATTTGATGAGCAGGAGTGATGGTGGTGGAGGGGGGCTGTTTTTTTTCTTCATCTGGCAAGATATTTCTGAAAAAGACTCCCGTTTTTTTTCAAACAGAGACTTCCGGTTAGGCCGAGCACGGCCCGGCGACGTTCTCGCAAAAGATGCCGGGATCGCTGGCCGGCCATTCTTTTTACTGTTTCCGGAATTGAACAACTCCTGTGAAAGTCGGGCTTTGACCGAACACTGGGGTGGACAACAATGGGCGACTACCGCTGCCATCTAACCCAATCCAATGCAGGGCGACCGAGATTGCAAATTTCGAATTACAGTTACCTCGACATACCTACGCCATGACATCGCTCGGGCACCTCGGGATTGAACATCCACGCGTGAACATCTGCCCAGGGTCCCAGAGGCTTTTCATTGAGGCCTAGAGATTCCACAACTCCTTTTTCATCAGTATTATGCCAATCGTAGCCAATCTGTGCGTCATAGGCATAGTTTCCCCATGGGCCGGAGGTCATCCATGGCCACGTTGCGTTTGCTTGTTCAGCCGTAAGCCCTTTTTTCAAGTATGTCTTGTAAGATGCATATGGCCTCTGCTTGACAAATTTAAATCGGGAATACCGGAGACGCATGAGATGCCTGATGCCCTCGCTCTCCCTGACTGAGTCCTCATAAGACACGAAGCGGGGCAGTTCGTGCGGGCATCTGCTGCTATTCAAACTCATTACGCAATTTTTGTCCTGCCGCTCGATATCTATCTTTAGGTAAACAGGAACGCCGTATTTACGCAATAATCCTTCACAAGTCATAGTTGGTACGTCAATGGTGTCACAGTCACTCCATCTGCCGGAAAAGCAGTAGCCGATGCCACTGTGCACAGGCGATTTTCTGTAGCGGTAGAATTTTAGAGCAGAACCTTCCCGGTTGCTGATGGCGCCATGGATAAGAATGAGCTGTCCAGACTCTAGGAAGGGTTTGAAATACAAACTGTTCCGAGCGGCTTCAACCAGGTTGCGATCAGCCTCCAGTCCAAGAACCCGCATCCCCTGCAAAAGATAGTTCCATGCGTCCCCACCTTCATTGAAGCCGAGATCCATAACAAATGACGACTGAAACGGCGAGATTGGCCATGGGCCCTGCCAGGGCAAGTATGAAGACGAAGAGCCCTGCTGTAGGGGAGAAACCGGATAAGAGATGGGCCCAGGCGAAGGCTGAGAGCCCCGCAGCGGTAGGAAAATCGAAGAAGGCACTTCGATCGGTTGGTGCGACTGTCTTCTGAGGCGACAAATTCCCAAAACCACAAACCAGACCAGCGCAAACGGATAGATGACACATGAAGACATTTCTCGCACTACCTACTCGCACGACTTCCGAAGTGCAGTGTGGCGACGGAAGGACCCAACTTTTGTAGGCACTTCGTTGAGCTAGTCAATAAAGTCAGGGCCTACCCATTTACTCAGACAGGGATCCCAGCAGATCGGACAGACTTCCTCGGAACTTCGGGGGAAAACACAAAAAAAAAACACCCCGAAGCCCTCCTGTGTTAGATGTCAAAAAAACAAGAGCAGAAAAAGCCGAGAACGATAGAAATGCGAAAAATAAGGGGGCCAGTGGGTGGACAGGGTTCCCAACAGATCGGACAGACCTGCAGAATTCCGGGGGGATCGTTTTGATCCCTCGCCAGTCGCTAAGTATGCCGATAGCCTTACTAACCTCTCGCGGCCTGGGCTCAAGTCTATCCATCGCGTTCACCCTGGGGCTGATCGTTTTAACCTTTCGCGGTCGGACAGACTTCCCGGGATCTTCGGGGAAAACACACCGCAGACCCCCCTGCGCTGCGATCCATTTGCTGTTCTGTTTTCTCGTCCGGCGGGGCGTCGTTTCCTGTCTTCATGATCACCGAGGCCATCGGGGACATGATCGAGCTGGAAATGGCGTTGGTTGCCGCGGCCGTCGATGCCGCCTCTACGTCCTTCTGAGGCCTGGGGATGCCTGGGCATTTCAAACAGTTGCGCGACGCCATGAACTTGCTTCGTTCGGTTTTTAGCTTCGAGAGTCGACTGGGCCGCGGCTTGTGTAGGCCAAGGCCCTTCGCGTTCGCTCTGGAAAGAATGACCTGTGCCGAACGGATGACATTCGCTACCTCTCCCCGATTTGCTTCGTTCCAGAGAGTCCTGGCGGCAAGCGAAACACTCTGAGCTTTTTACTTTGTTGAAGATGTCAGGCAAACACATTTTCCCTTTTGCCTTCTGATCGTCGTTTTTAAGAAGTCACCGCACACCGCACGAGCACCGCACTCGGAGCAAGTTTCTCCCTTTTCATCGTCAGTCTTTTTCTTGCTGCAGCCATCTTTTCACGCCACACAGTAGAAGTCAATCTCGTTCAGCTTGTTGACTTCTTTCCGCAGCATCTCAGCTCCTGTCGCTTGACTTCTTCGTCGCTGTTCGTTGTCGATTCTATCTTGGGCCTCTCTGTCGGCACGCTGCTGCCCGTTGGTGGCTCGATTCTGTGCGTCGCGCACTTCTCGCTCGAGTTGTTCCTGATGTCGACGCGACTCAGCTTTCATCTTCTCGAATTTCTATTCCGTGTCTTCACTCGCTTACTTGAGGTGCTCGGTATTCGTAGCACAGCGCTACTCTTTTCCCGTGCGTGATGTGCTGTTCGTCTGTCATGCTTGCCTTGTCATCCTGCCTAAGATTTTCCGCAAATGGGCTGTCGTTCAGCTCCATTCCCTCTTCCTGTTCCGCGATTTCGTTCAGGATAACGACGGTGGACCTAGTTCCGCCCTGCCCTCCGTTGAGGGTTTCCTCGCTTGAGGAGGCCGCTGCGTCTCTGAGTCTCTTCTCTCTCTCTTTCTTAGCTATAGCTTTATTCTCTCACTATTTTCAACTTATCAATCAAGATGGATGCGCTTTGCGCTTTGCTCTCATTTTTATGTGACTCAACCCCATGGGCAAGCAGTGGACACGTGATAGAGTACTTACATCTACCAGGACGACTAACCAAAAGGGCAGGAGTGTCATGCCACACGCGTGGCTCCTGTCACCGACCACCAACATAATGAGGTGACGGGAGTAATTTGGCACCGTTCAGGACGGAACTGCATTAATTTTAGTAATTTGCTGTCGTTGGGCTGCTTGTATATATGTTAGAGGCCGACCCCCCCCCGCCCCCCCTCCTCCGCGCGGCGCGGCCCGCGGATCTCTTCTTCATTTCTATCGCTTCCCCGTCGTATTCCCACCGTTTATTTTCGCGTTAAATACTCGACCAAGTTCCAAGGGGATCGAAGAACTTCCACCGGTGAAGTTCTTCGGCATCCGTGGGTGGTTTCAATGTATTCCATCGGTGAGGTTCCGCAATAGATCGGCCAAATTCTAGAGGGGGCAGGCGGAGGCGTGGCAATCTTGTGGATGTCTTCCACCAATGGGGTTCCACACTTACCGACTCTACAACTGTGCAAGATGAAAATGCGCGGCACACCTGTAGCACGCACGCAAGAAGCACGCGGCTGCCAGATCTGGAGGGGGGGTCGGCATCTAGACCACGGGGCCACACTCCGAAAACCTTCCGCCGATGGACTTTCATGAATTTACCGGCGAAAATGTGCGGCGCACCTGTAGCATGCACGCAAGAAACCAACAGGCTGGACCAGAAGGAGGCGGACGGGCTTCCGGAAGCTTCCACTAATGGAGTTCCGCCCATTTTGTGGGGGCGTCATGGGCTTAAGGGGGGGGGGGGTCACTCCCCTTCATATATATTTTTCATCTTCCGTGTCATCCATGAATTGGTGAGAGCCGTTTACGTACTCAGCTTGGCGTGAACATCGCACCAGGGATGCGGGATGCCATCGCCGCGGTCATTGCAGACATCTTTGCGGACCTCTTCTAATGTCCTCCAGCTGTATTCGACCCGCTGGTCCTTGCTTTTCTCGCCGAAAGGACCGCTATGCTGTCCGCGTCCGTTATTCCTGAATGGACGTTGGTCAACCAATTTGTAAGCCGTGTACCCCAGCTTTTCTAGCGTGTCGAAGACAGCAGGCGTTCTTGATTCGATTGAGATGTATGTCGGAGGCAGACTGCCGGCAGCGTGCATGGACTGCAGGCAGCTCAGATCATTGTGCTCAATATCAATTTTCATATATTTGACAGGGCAACCCCGACTGTGTTCCCTGATCAGAGCTGCGCAATTTGACAACGGCACGCTGATCCTCTTGCAATATGAATCGTGGAGACAACCCTTTTGCGGATCGAAAGAACTCCACACACTTTGCCGATTGACATAAAAAAACAATTCCTCGCGTGTTGGCGGCCAGACAATGCCGGTGTGGACAATGGAGAGTCGACCAGTGTCGATTGCGGCGCTAAAATAGGGATCACGTCTAACCTTCCATATCATGTCTGGATTCGCCTCCACTGCAATGACACGATAGCCTGCGCGGAGAAGGTTATACGTATCCCCACCCGTGTTCATGCCAATGTCCATCACGGTTTCACGAACCTGCGCACATTGCTTTTGCTTCGGCGCAGGTGATGTATCCAAGAGGCTTCCGCGCTCCCCCGGTGTCAATGCTTGTCGACTTTGGAAGCAACGCCCTTGCGAAATCGGAATGCGATGCGAGAGACGAACGGTCATGCGAGATAGAATTATTAAAGGACTGCACGTCTCACCTGTCAAGGATTCCGCGGAACCTGTCAACGGTTGAACATACCGGGGGGACACATGTCCCCCAGTTTTTCCCCCCTCTATTTCTGCACATCGGTAGAAACAAAACCCAAGAAGAAGAGCCACCAGAAACACGGGCGGAAACATTCCCCCGAACATAGTCAACACCCTAGAGAACTTGACAAACCTCGAGTCGAGAGGCTCGGACTGCGACATGTCCGCGGAAACTGTCAACACCCCAGAGAACTCCAAGAACCTCCAGAAACTCGGGCTGCGACAATCCCACGAAAACTGTCAACACCTGAGAGACCTCAAACAACCCCCAGAAACTCAGGCCGCGACGCTCCCACGGAACCTGTCAACACCAAAGAGAACCACCCCAAGAACCTCCAGGAATTCGGGCCACGACGCTCCCGCGGAACCTGTCAACACCATAGGGAACAACCCCAAGAACCTCCAGAATGGCGCTCGGGCTTCGACGCTCCCACGAAAACTGTCAGGACGTCAGAGAACTCAACAAACCCCAGAAAATCGGGCGGCGACGCTCCCGCGGAACCTGTCAACACCTTAGAGAACTCAAAGAACACCCAGAGCCTCGGGCTGCGACCCTCCCACGGAAACTGTCAACACCTCCGAGATCTCCAAGAACAGACAGAGACTCGGGCGGCGACACTCCCGCAGAAACTGCCAACATCTCCGAGAACTTCAAGAAGAACAAGAACCCCCCGAAACGGAGTCGGACCGCGAAACTCCCTCTCCAACGGAAACTGTCAACACCATAGGGAACATCAAGAACCTCCAGGGACTCGGGCTGCACAACTCCCGCGAAAACTGTCAGAAAAAACGGCCAACGAACACAAGACCCCAGAGGCAGAGAGCTCCAACATTTTCCCAATCCAGAACCCCCCGCCACGACACTCCCACGAAAAACGTCAACACCTCAGAGAAATCCCAGACCCCCAGAAACTCGGGCGCCGACACTCCCAGAAAAACTGCCAAGACCTCAGCGGACGAATCCACGACCCCCCAGAAAATCGGGCGGCAACACTCCCACGAAAACCGTCGGCAACTCAGAGAATGAAACCCGAGGCCCCCAACTACAACTCGGACGGCAACACTCCCACGAAAACTGTCCGCAACACATCAACTAACTCCAGTCCAAACATTCGCGGAGGTTCAACCTGGGCCACAAACTCCCACAGAAACTCACAACACCACGGAGAACTTCAAACGATCGCGAAAACTGTCAACGCTTACAACCACAAGAAAGACCACCTCCACCGCACAACTTCGGCAAACGACACCCGACTATCAGCCCCGCGGAGAACTCCAAGAAAAAAAAAACTATCAGCCCCGCAGAGAACTCCAAGACCACGGCCACGGGCTCGCGGGCGGCAACTCTCACTCAACTCTCCCCATAGCACCGCGAACATCACGAGGGCGACATCCCAGACACATAGACCGCGACAACGCCCACGATGTACGTAGAAGGCGCCCCCCGTTTTGACTGTCGACACTTCCGGGGGAAGTGCTAACGATCAACATACTTAGGGGGCTCCTCATGCATATATAGCGCGGGCCCTCCTCTATTATATACATAGGGAACCCCCTAAGTAAGGCGACACGACCGTTGACAGTTTCGCGGAAGTGTTGACAGTTAAAATGGGGGACCCATCATTAAAAAGACAAACAACATGAAAACCAGAATAAAAATGGAGCGACTTGAACCTCCACTCGGTCGCATTTTGGTGTACTGTGCGCTGCCTCCCGCGATCTCAAAGCTCGCCCTAACAAGAGCCTCACTATTAGCACGCCCCTGACTCCTAAAAATTGTGGCTGACCATGGAGACAATGCCAGAGGGCGGGGCATTTCACATTCCCAGCGCCCTTCGGTTGCAATTTTCTCCGGGTCGCGCGGCAGCTCCGACGTTCCCGAAGGTTTCTCTCGAGCGGCGGCACAGCTGCAGCGTGGCGTCGGCAGAGTTTTGTTTCTTTCGCCGTGTTGGTCCAATTGGCCAACGAGTGCGATTCGGGCCTCAACCCAAGGGGTAGCGTGGTGCTGCAGGTTGGCAGACTCAGGTCAGGAAGCCAATGGCAGCAAATGCCAGAGCTTGCAAACTCATGGAGCAGGACTCGCCCACTCTGGTTCTTCAGAACCCGATGGGCCACGCAGTGCGCCGCCCGAAGGCCCGAAGGCCCCAACTCTGACCGTGGGGCGAATCTCAATCGCAACGGAAAATTTGGCTCCTCGGCGCCCACAACGCGCAGGCTGGCACGCCTCCTCGGCGCCTGGACCTGCAGTGCGCAGGATGACACTGATAGGCGAAGGCAATTCTCCTGGCTGCGGTTGGCTACGCGTGGCCCACAGCGCAAAACTTCGAAGCCCCTTGCGCTTAACACAGCAAGAGGTTGCCGGCGGCGCAGCCCCAGAAAGCAGGTCACGCCAGGTCTTGGCCAATTCTTTTGGCAGGCCAATGCCGCCACTCGTTTCTTCAATTTGCAACGATTTGGGGGGCTCGGTCACAGGTTGCTGTCTGCGTCTCAATCCCGGGCGAGGCCTCGGCGGGAGGGCGGGCAGTTCGCGCGCGACAGTGGCTGACTCAGACTGAGAGCGCGGGGGAGGACAACACAGAGCAGCTCAGTATGAGTTCCTTCGATTCTCTTTCTTCCTTCTTGTATTTTTCGCCTTTTCTGTCTCCTGTTTTCCGTGCTGTCTCTTTTCTCTTTCCGTCTCCGTTCTTCTTCTCTTCTTTGTTTCTTCTTCTCTACTCGCTTGAAGAGTGCCACTGGGGTTTTCCTCCTATCGCGGGTTTGCCTTCGTTTACTTTTTCCAAAAAAGCTGCCACCTTCGTCATACCTATGAACACAGTCAAGCACTCAAAGCCGAAAATGTGGAGTGTCGAGATTGGTTTTATTTTCTGACGAATCGCAACACCCTGCAGGAAAGTATAAAAGTATAAAATGTCTTTGGTTCGTCTTCTCATAAAGTTGCAAGTTTTGAGAACTTGCTAAGCTGTGAAAATCGTCAAGGATCATCAGGATCTTTTTCAAAGATCCACCACGAGGTTAAGAGGATCCGAATTGAGCCAAGTTGGATCTCGATGGGGAATTTGCCCCGAGAGATCTTAACTCCACACTATATCTCTTTGAGTTGAGGATTGTCGTAACACATCCCCCCTCGCAAATGCCTCTGGTCTAAAATGCTCAAACAAATAAGCCAGAGGGGTTTTCGTCTGTATCCTGTTCGCGTTCCTCAATCACGCCAAGGCGAAACGTCAAGAAAATCTATCCGACTGCACTCCAAAACAATCACCGCCAGGAGATGTCTCAAAATCATCGCCCCAGAAATCGCCCAACGCTGCTCCAGCGCCAAGCTTTTAGTGCTACGATCTCAACTCGCAGCGGATTATCGGTCTCAAAACCCGATAAGGAAGAGTAAACCGATGACCAATTTACATCTTCGCGGGGAGGAACTCCTTCAAGGTTCCAGTTAGGTCGAATTCTTTGACCTGCTCCACCAGGCATTTAAATTTTGCTTCGGCCAGCGCCTCGGTCATGATGTCGGCCAGCTGCCTAGTTGTCGGAATGTAGATGATGCGAGTCTTCTTCTCCTCCACCATCTCGCGCACGAAATGCCACCGCAGATCGATACGTTTGCACCGACGGTCTTCACGTGCTTCGGAGATATATTTTGCTCCGATGTTATCGCAGAAGACAGGGGTGGCGGCAAGGCTTTCACCCTCGTATTCCAAAACCTGCGAAACGACATCCCGTAGACGCGGTTCCTCGAGGAGGTTGCGCAAGAACCTGAGCTCTTTGCGCGTTTCTGCGCCGGCAATGTACTCTGATTCGCAACTCGGCAGAGCAGTGCTCTTTTGTAGTTTAGCGTGCCAGTGGACAGGCATTCTGAGGAATACCATCGCACCAGATACGCTTTTGCCGTCGTCTTCGCCACCCCAGGTAGGTTGCGTCGCTGAAAGCGGATAGTCCGACTTTGCCGCGGGTGCACTCCAACGCGAGATCTTTCGTCCCAGAAAGATATCGCAGTAACCGCTTGGCAATGCGAAACTGCCTATTTCCGGGCTGCTCCAAAAACATGGAAAGGCAAGCTGTCACATATGACAAGTGCCAACGCGTTGCCACCTGCAAGTACATTATGGACCCAACAAAAGAGCGATAGTCTTCTGCGTTGACCGTGTAACCCTTGTAGGCTTCAGGTTCTGGCGCAGTCTTGTCGTGCTCCGTCATTGGTGTTGGTGCAGGACGACACGCTTCAAAACCGAACTGCTCAAGTACTTTCTCCACGAGCTCCCGCTGGAAGAATCTAAGACGCTCTGCGCCCCAGGGAAACCTCACACCCAGGAACCTGTAGACGGGCTCGCCGTCCATCACTTCGGGCCTGATCTCCTTGGCGTCGTACTCGTCGAAGATCTTCTGCTTGATCTCGTCCCGGACGTCGTTATTGCGCGTAAGCCAAGTTACGTCGTCTACATAGAGCAGTAGAATTGCGTCGCCGCGAACGTAGAGACTGGCATCTGCTGCGCTTCGCTCAAACCCAAGCGAGATCAAGTATTTGCTAATATCCTGACACCAAAGGGCACCGGACTCGCGCATTTCGTAGACTGCGCGCTTGAGTCGCCAAATCTTACCGGGCCTACGCCAACAAGATGGCGGAAAAACGTAACGTGGCTCCGAGATTTTCGCGCTCAGGAAAGCCGCCGAGATATCGCACTGAAAGATGCTCCATCCCATCGACCATGCCAACACAAGCACGGCGCGCAGCGTCGCCCAACGAATCACCGGCGAGAATATCTTGTCTGATAGCGGCTGAAAGTTCCCCAGGACAACACCGCGGGCTTTGTGCTTTGTAGTCTTGCCCTGGTCGTCCTGCTTCTTGACAAGCGCCATCTTCATGCTCATCGCTTTCCGCATGCCGGGATCTTCAGGGTCGTAGTCCACTTCTTCGTAGACATCTTTGTCGATGAAGTTCTGAAGCTCCGCGTCGATCGCCTCTGCCCAATCGCCCCGGTCAGCTGACTTCATCGCCTTTCCATACGTGGTCGCCTCGAACAGGTATGCTTGCTCGGTTTCCGGCACCTTTGCGAACTGGTCAGCGAACGCCACGAAGCTGGCCATCTCGTCCTCAGGGATGTCGGGGCAGAGGTCCTCTCCGAACCAGTCATCATCATCGGAGGCGTCGCCCTCCAATCCGTGCGTGTGAGGTTCGTTGTCGTCTACCACGCGGCAATTTGGTGATTGCAAAATGTTGCCCCGCTGATCCTCCACTACGTAACCACTCGAAAAATCGCTGTAGTAGAGGAAACGGCCCGGCTCGCGTTGCTCGTCCACCTTGTTTTTGTACTTGTAGCGCCTGAACATGACACGCTGATAGAAAGGCAACATGTGTCCCAGGCTGGGTTTACGCTTTCGCCACACTTCGCACGGCGACAACCCATCAAGCGCTTCGCGCGGCATTCTGTTACGAGCGTGCGCAGCACTCTCCATCGCGTATCCCCAGAGGCTTTTCTTCAACCCACAAACGCAAGCACGGACCGAACGCATCAACACTCCGCTTAGCCGCTCCACGGTGCTGTTCTGCTGCGGGGAGTATGGGCTTGCTCGCTCGGCACGGATGTTGAGGCTGGTTAGAAACTCGTCGACCGCCTTTGCCGTGTACTCGCCACCATTGTCCGTAAGGAGGCACTCGGGGACACGATGCTTCTTCACCCAAAACTTCAGAGCCTCGAGCGCGTGCTTGGCTTCTTTCTTGGGCGCCAGGTATACCTCGCGCCACCGAGTCTGCTCGTCGACCATCACAAAAACGCATCGATTTCCTTTTGCAGTGGGAGGTAGTGGGCCTAGCGTGTCCATGTGGAGGCGTTCGCTTGCGCGCGTCGCTCTGTGATGATGCGCCTCCGTCCTCTTGTGCTGTTTTCTGCGCCCATTAGCGCGCTTGCAAAGGTCACAATCAGGATGGTGCCCCATGTGCTTCATGGCGATGCGCTGCTTCAGCGTGGTAACCACTAGTGCTTCTTCGTGCGCTTCATAATCTGGGCTGTGAAACCGGATGACCATCTGCTTCCCCGACGGGTATCCGAAAATGCGCACTCCATTTCGGTTCACTTCGCAGCCCTGCTCGCACTCGAAACACGTTCCCCCCTCGCGGCACACCTTCCGCGGCGAGAAGAGCGGGGTCCTCATCTCGGGCACGTGGAGGCAGTGGACGCGATAGTTCGCCCCCCGGTATCGTAATACGCAATCTCCTTCGCCGGTGATCTTCAGCTTCTTCCCGTCGGCAATCTCCACCCAGCGGCTGATCGACCTGTAAGTTTTAAACCACTGCCGGTCGTTCATAAAGTGGCTCGTCGCACCGGGGTCGCAGATCATCTCAAGTAAGCTGCCCGAGGCCGTAACTGCTTCGCGCGCCATCAGCGCAAGATCCGAAGCTTTCGCTACGTCCTGCGCGGTAACGCCCATGAGCATCGTGAAGTACATTAGTGCCCACAAGATAAGCGTCTTGACCACGGTGCAGGACACACGCGCGTAGAAGGCTCCAGCTGCTGAAACCCGCTGCCGCGACTTCTTTGCAACTCCGGCGCAAAGCGCGAGCTCTAGGCCAAGATCTTCTTCTCCTTCTTCGTGATGGTGTGCATCCTGCGGCACTACGTCATTGGCGGCGGGAACGGGATCGGCCGCCGCAGGCTCAATCGCGGCTTTGGCTTCTTCGTCCTTTTTGTCTTCCGCAGCGTTTCCACCTTCGGTCTTCTTCCGCGGGTGTTTCAGCTGATTACGCCGGAGAAGATCTTTATACTTCGCCTTCTCCTTGCAGTGTCGGCATGTGATTTCCCGGCTAGGGTCGGCCAGCGCGTCAGCAGTTATCTTGCGACCCGGCGGCGCGCCAGCACGCTGCGCACCTTCGGTGTGTTGTTGCTTTTTAGCGGGGTACACTACAAAAACTTGATCGCGGCAAGAGTGTCGGTGTACTTCAACTCGGGCGCCATGCTGCGGATCGATCGCTGATCCTTCGGCGAAACCTTCCCCCTCAAATTGAACAACAACACGCTGCTCCAGATCTTGTCTGGCACCCAGGCAGTCTCGTTCTCGATCTCCTTCTTGTTTGTGTCGTACTTGGTGAGGAAGTCGCGGATGTCCCCGCTTTTCGCAATCGTCTTACCAAAAGTTTCACCCAACTGATCGGCTAGTTCCTCATCGGGGGTCGCGCCTTTCTCACCAACGACGCGCTCCACTATTTTCTCCGGCGTCATGTCGGCAGCGCTTATTCCACGGAGAAGCTTCTTGACCTTGTCTCCTTGGTTGCTGTAGATCGCCGCAGCGATGCGCCCGGGCTCCACCCCGGTAAGCTGCAGTGCGCTGATGTCGTGCGTGAAGTCCTTGATCTGCTCGCGCGTAGGGTCGTCCGGCAACACTGGGACTTTCATCCCAGTAAGGGCTGCGTTCTTGGTGGGAGCACCACCATCTTCCGGGCTCGTGATCCCACTCACATCAAGCGCGGAATCACCCTCATTGTCGATGATATCGCCGAGCGAAGCATCCAGCTCCGCAAGCTTTTCGGCCGAGACAACGATTGCTCGACTATCAGGGCGGCTGCATGTTGCGACCAATGCCTCCGAGAAACAATATCCCATCTGCGATCCTCCCTCGGTAAGCACGCAGTCCGCCTCCGCGATATCGGCCACCTTGTAGGCGAAGTAGCGCTTCTTTCCACATGTTCGCACGAGGATGCGCTGGACTCCGCTCCGGGTAGTGGCTCGCCCGGGTTTCCAATCGATTCCCGTCTCCGTCTTTTCTTATAGCCAACGAAAAAAAAAAACTTCTGCTGCGTGTAATGAATTTGGTTCGGTTTCTAGTGGGTGTATACTCCTACAGTATCAAAATATGGATGCAGAAGTTCGCTATCCGGATGAGCAAATCGATTGAAAAAAAAATTAAATGCATGCAATTGTTAACGTGATTAAAAGGCTCATAAGTAACATGAACACAGTCAGGCACTCAAAGCCGAAAACGTGGAGTGTCGAGATTGGTTTTATTTTCTGACGAATCGCAACACCCTGCAGGAAAGCATAAAAGTATAAAATGTCTTTGGTTCATCTTCTCATAAAGTTGCAAGTTTTGAAAACTTGCTAAGCTATGAAAATCGTCAAGGATCACCAGGATCTTTTTCAAAGATCCACCACGAGGTTAAGAGGATCCGAATTGAGCCAAGTTGGATCTCGATGGGGAATTTGCCCCGAGAGATCTTAACTCCACACTTTATCTTTTTGAGCTGAGGACTGTCGTAACAATACCGAGGGGCCAAGAAACTTGCCAAAAAAAGGCGCTATTTTTGGGCAACATTTTTCGGCAACATTCTGAGACCTTTGAGAATTGTGCAGAAAAAATCTGCACAATGTGGAAAATTGTGCAGAAAAAGTCTGCACAATTTCAAGAAACCCACCAGAAACCGGCAGAACTTGAGCTGTGCATGGCTAGCCTGCACAATTTTGGAGAGTTGTGCACATCAACTCTGCACAATTTCAAGAAACACACCAGAAACCGGCAGAACTTGGGCTGTGCATGGCTAGCCTGCACAATTTTGGAGAGTTGTGCGCACCAACTCGGCACAATTCCAAGAAACACACCAGAAGCCGGCAGAATTTGCGCTGTGCATGGCTAGCCTGCACAACTTTGGAGAGCTGTGCGCATCAACTCTGCACAATTTCAAGAAACACACCAGAAACCGGCAGAGCTTGAGCTGTGCATGGCTAGCCTGCACAATTTTGGAGAGCTGTGCACATCAGCTCTGCACAATTTCAAGAAACACACCAGAAACCGGCAGAACTTGGGCTGTGCATGGCTAGCCTGCACAATTTTGGAGAGTTGTGCTGCACATCAACTCTGCACAATTTCAAGAAACACACCAGAAACCGGCAGAACTTGGGCTGTGCATGGCTAGCCTGCACAATTTTGGAGAGTTGTGCGCACCAACTCGGCACAATTCCAAGAAACACACCAGAAGCCGGCAGAATTTGCGCTGTGCATGGCTAGCCTGCACAACTTTGGAGAGCTGTGCGCATCAACTCTGCACAATTTCAAGAAACACACCAGAAACCGGCAGAGCTTGAGCTGTGCATGGCTAGCCTGCACAATTTTGGAGAGCTGTGCACATCAGCTCTGCACAATTTCAAGAAACACACCAGAAACCGGCAGAACTTGAGCCGTGCATGGCTAGCCTGCACAATTTTGGAGAGCTGTGCGCCCCAACTCTGCACAATTCCAAGAAACACACCAGAAACCGGCAGAATTTGAGCTGTGCATGGCTAGCCTGCACAATTTTGGAGAGTTGTGCACGTCAGCTCTGCACTATTTCAAGAAACACACCAGAAACCGGCAGAACTTGAGCTGTGCATGGCTAGCCTGCACAATTTTGGAGAGCTGTGCTGCACATCAACTCTGCACAATTTCAAGAAACACACCAGAAACCGGCAGAACTTGAGCTGTGCATGGCTGGCCTGCACAATTTTGGAGAGTTGTGCACATCAGCTCTGCACAATTCCAAGAAACACACCAGAAACCGGCAGAATTTGAGCTGTGCATGGCTAGCCTGCACAATTTTGGAGAGTTGTGCACATCAGCTCTGCACAATTTCAAGAAACACACCAGAGACCGGCAGAACTTGAGCTGTGCATGGCTAGCCTGCACAATTTTGGAGAGTTGTGCGCATCAACTCTGCACAATTTCAAGAAACACACTAGAAACCGGCAGCGCTTGAGCTGTGCATGGCTAGCCTGCACAATTTTGGAGAGTTGTGCACAACAAGCCTGCACAATTCCCAGAAACACACCAGAAGCCGGCAAAATTTGAGCTGTGCACGGCTAGCCTGCATAATTTTGGAGAGTTGTGCACAACAGGTCTGCACAATTCCAAGAAACACACCAGAAACCGGCAGCGCTTGGGCTGTGCGTGGCTAGTCTGCGTAACTTACTTTGGAGAGCTGTGCGCGACAAGTCTGCACAATTCCAAGAAACACACCAGAAGCCGGCAGGGCTTGGGGGGTGCGTGCCTAGTCTACACAATTCTGGAGAGCTGTGCGCGACAGTTCTGCACAATTCCAAGAAACACACCAGAAACCGGCAAGGTTTGAGCTGTGTATGGCTAGCCTGCACAATTTTGGAGAGTTTGTTGCGCACAACGTCAGGGCTGCGCAATTGATTCCAAAAAACACACCAGAAACCGGGCCGGCAAGGCTTCGGCGGTGCATGGATAGCCTGCGCAATTTTATGAGAGTTGTGCACAGCGTCAGGCTTGCACAATTCCAAGAAGCACAGCACTCGACTCACTCACACACTACCAAAATGCCAACAGTCACACACTTGACACGTGAATCGATTCCCTGGTAGTGCGTCTATCTCTTCAAAGTTTCGGAAACCTCCAACACCAGCTAACTCCTGCCATGTGGTTGCCTCCGTTCTGCATGTTTCTGCAAAAAACCAGCATGCCTGAGACTAAGCTTGTGGGCGAAAAAATCAATAGGGCAAGGCCGTGCTTTTATTTTCTAAAACTGGACACCCCTAAACCTACTCGGCAAACCATAAAACTCGATAGCACAGATCAACCGCAAAAAATATAAAATCTAATAGGCCAGAATTGGGGCGAAATTAAAAATCTGGCAAAATCCTGGACAACATTTACAACTTTGAACCCCCACAGTTGGACCCTGGGCCAATACCAGCGCGAAGCACAGTTTGCCCTTATTGCCCCAGTTTTGCCCGGCCAGAAGCTGCTCTTTTCATTTCTGGCCCCATCCCATTCCCGCGCCTCCCCCCATATTGGTGCCCGCTGTCCTTCGTCGTCAGGTAGCCAGTTTCTGCATGGCGAGGCTCTTGGGCAGCAGTCACCTAGCCCATTGGTACCGGGTAGCGTTCGCCGCCTTCTTCGACGGTGTTCGCTGGCCTTCCTT